AGGAATCAAACCCAGGGCCTCATGCATGCAAGGCAAGCGCTCTACCACTGAGCCACCTTCCCAGCCCCTTGAAGATAAGTCTTTTTTTTTATTTTGTCAGTTATGGGGCTTGAACTCTGGGCCTGGGCGCTGTCCCTCAGCTCTTCATCTCAAGGCTAGCACTCTACCACTTGAGCCACAGTGCCACTTCCAGCTTTTTTCTTATGTGGTGCTGAGGAATCGAACCCAGGGCCTTGAGCATGCAAGGCAAGTGCTCAACCACTGAGCCACCTTCCCAGCCCCGAATAAAATTCTTTTTTTTTTTTTTTTGAGGGACAGCTGGGCGCTGTCCCTCAGCTCTTCAGCTCAAGGCTAGTGCTCTACCACTTAAGCCACAGTGCCACTTCTGGTTTCTTTTTGCTTATGTGGTACTGAGGACTCGAACCCAGGGCCTCAGGCATGCAAGGCAAGCACTCTACCACTGAGCCACCTTCCCAGCCCCGATAATTTTTTTTTTTTTGGTCAGTTATAGGGTTTGAACTCTGGGCCTGGGTGCTGTCCCTGCACTCTTCAGCTCAAGGTGACGCTTTACTGCTCTACTACTTGAGCCACAAAGCCACTTCCAGTTTTCTGGTGGTTTATTGGACATAAGTCTCACAGACTTTCCTGCCCAGGCTGGCTTTGAACAGTGATCCTCAGATCTCAACCTCTTGAGTAGTTAGGATTATAGGTGTGAGCCACCAAGCCCTGCTAAGATAATTTTTTTAAACTTAAACCAATAGTTGATGATTAAACTTCATCAAAAGCGAAATCATGCCATCCTAGCTACTCAGGAGATTGAGATATGAGGATCACGGTTCAAAGCCAGCCCAGGCAGAAAAGTCCATGAGACTCATCTCCAGTTAACTACCAGAAAACTGAAAGTGATGTTGTAGCTCAAGTGGCAGAGTGCTCGCCTTGAGCACAGAGAGGCTCAAGGACAGAGCCCAGGCCCTGGGTTCAAGCCCCACAATCGGCAATAAAAAGAGTAGGAATGATGGGGCTGGGAAGGTGGCTCAGTGGTAGAGCGCTTGTGCATGCCTGAGGCCCTGGGTTCGATTCCTCAGCACCACATAAGCAAAAAGAAAAAAGCTGGAAGTGGTGCTGTGGCTCAAGTGGTAGAGCAGTAGAGCGTCACCTTGAGCTGAAGAGTACAGCGACAGCGCCCAGGCCCAGAGTTCAGGCCCCACCACTGGACCCAAAAAAAAAAAAAAAAGAGTAGGAATGAGCCTGGCGCTGGTGGTTCACGCCTGTAATCCTAGCTACTCAGGAGGTTGAGATCTGAAGATCACGGTTCAAAGCCAGCCCGAGCAGGAAAGTCCTGAAACTCTTATCTCCAATAAACCACTAGAAAACTGGAAGTGGCGCTGAGGCTGGAGCGGTAGAGCGCTCACCTTGAGCTGAATAGCACCCTGCCTTGGGCAGGGATAGTGCCCAAGCCCAGAGTTCAAGCCCCACGACCAACAACAACAACAAAAAAAGAATAGGAATGTAGCTTAGTGATAGAGTGCTTGCCTAGCATGCATGAAGCTGAGGGTTCAATTCCTCAGTACCACATACACAGAAAACACTGAAGTGACACTATGGTTCAAGTGATAAAGTCTAGCCTTAAGCAAAAAGAAGCTCAGGGACAGTGCTCAGGCTCCGAGTTCAAACCCATGACACTCCCCCCCCCACACACACACACCCCTAAAAATTTGCTCTGCAAAAGACAAATGTTAAAAAAAGAAAGGAAATGATAAAGACTAAGAAAAAAAACAAAGGGCTGGTGGCTCACACCGATAATCCTAGCTATGAGACCCTTATTTCTTTTTTTTTCCCCATTATTTAGAGAATACTTTATTAGTTAGACCCTTCTTTCTTTTTTTTTTTTGGGTGGGGGGATCAGGTCATGGGGCTGAACTCTGGGCCTGGGCTCTGCCCCTCAGTTCTTCAGCTCAAGGCTAGCGCTCTAACACTTGAGCCACAGTGCCACTTCCGGCTTTTTTCTTTTTGCTTATGTGGTGCTGAGGAATCAAACCCAGGGCCTCAGGCATGCACAAGCGCTCTACCAGTGAGCCACCTTCCCAGCCCCCCTTATTTCTTTAACCACCAAAAAGCCCAAAGTAGAGGCTGTGGCTCAAGTGGTAAAGCATTAGCCTTGAGCAAAACTGCTACAAAACAGCACCCAATCCCTGAGTTCAAGCCCTCGGACTGGCACACACACAAAAAGAAACTATAAAAAGCACACCAAGTCCGGCACCAATGTCTCATGCCTGTAATCCTTGCTACTCAGGAGACTGAGCTCTGAGGATGGAGATTCAAAGCCAGCCCGGGCAGAAAAGTCAGTGAGACTCTTATCTCCAATTAACTACCAGAAAACAGGACATGGCGCTGTGGCTCAAGTGGTAAGAGTGCTAGCCTTGAGCTGAAGAGCTCAGAGACAGCGCCCTGGCCCAGAGTTCAGGCTACACGACTGACCAAAAAAAAAAGCATATCTAACAAAAAAAACTTGATATCCAGTTTGGAGGCATGGCTCAGGTGGTAAACAGTGCATGCCTACTAAGAACGCTAAGTTCAAAACCCAGTCTCATATATATATAAAGCAAAAAACCTGCTATCCTATAAATTGTCAAATGTAACCATGAACGAAACAATTCAATGAAAAAAATGGGTAAGATATAAACAGATGTCACCAACGAAGACATACAAAACAACTGAAGAACAAAGGAAAAATCATCCAACCTCAGTCTTAGAGATACACATAAAGATTACTATGTACTTAAAATTAACAGACAACCCAACAACCTGACTTCAATTTACTCAAATGAATGTCCACGTTCATACACACAAAAATAATTTAAAAATCTGTAAGTAAACAATTATAGCAAGTTTATTCAGGAATCCCTAAAATGAAAATAATCCAACTATGCTTCAAGGGGTGAAAGGATAAACTTGGTACATTTATATAAGGGGAATGCCATTTCTAACAAGAACAAATGGGCAAATGAATTATGCTGAGTGTAAAGGCTGGACAGCAAAGACCGCTGTGTATGATTCCATCTATGCCTCATCTGGACAAGACATAATACTGTCCTGGAGAGCATGGAACAAGGGAGGAGGAGGTCTTAATACAAAGGGGCAAGTAAAGGTACAGTTTAGGATTAACATAATCAATTCTGCTTCTTGACTATGGCAGAGCTACACAACTCCACACATTTGTCAAAACTCATAGAAAATATAAGTGAACCAGTGAACCTAAAGTGAATTTCTCCAAATAAAAACTTAAACAAACAATACTGAGCGCGACATTTTATAAACTACAGATTAAGATGAGTTTACTATATATAACTGAATGTCACAATTGAGGAAGAGGAAAGTCTCTCCTGACAGAAGATATCAATGAGTAAATACTGAAGGTGCCAGGCACTGGAGGCTCACAACTATAAAATGTAACTACTCAGGAGACTGAGATCTGAGAATCCTGGTTCAAAGCAAGCCCAAGCAAACTCAAAACTCTTATCTCCAATTAACCAGCAAAAAGCCAGATGTGGAGGAATGGCTCAAGTGTCAAAAAATCTATCAAGGCCTACTTCCAGCACAGAATAATTAGGTAGGTAGGCAGATGCAGAAAGAATGATGGCGGCAGAAAATCTACTTAGGAATCTTTACAGAATAACTGACTCAGACACAACTCATCAACTGATGCTAGAATTAGTGAGTAAATGTTTAATGAGACATAAGATATTTACATAATCTCAAAGTACCTTTCCCAGTTTTTCATTATTATAAAAGGAAAAAAGGATTAACTGTTCACTAAAGGATGCTGGTAGATACCACCATAATTAATCAGTGCTCAAAACTAACAGCCCTACTCATAGGACACAGTAACTGCTATAGCATTTCTCTAAAAAACACATGACCCGAATGTGACATAAGGAAACATCAGACAATCTTGCATCACAGGACATTCTACAAAATAACTGACTTGTACTCCTCAAAACCATCAAGGTTACAAACTGGAAAACTGGCCCAGATTAAAGAAGGGTAGAGGGACACAGTAACGAAGCCCTATGGGAGATACTGGGTTGGGGAAAAAAAACATAAAGGACACCTTCAGGACAAGAGATGAAATCTCTAGCCCATCATAGAAGAGTATTGGATTATTTAAGTTTCCTGATTTTAGTTATTGTACTGTGGCTAGGTAAAAGAACATCCTTATCTACTAGTGTTGAACTACTTAAAGGAGTATAATATGATGTTATACACTTGGATGAAAGAATGAAGATAATGCAAATGGGACAAAAAAAACAGAAACTGGTAAATTTAGGAAAAGGGCATAAGAAAAAAGTTTCATATGATTACAATTTTTATGTGCTTGAAATTACATCCAAAAAAAATTACAACCAAAAATATCAAAGATGAAGATGCTTTCAGAACTCAACACAATCTAGTTCAAAGCTCCTAGACTTTGGAATGTGTTTTAAAATCTTGGCATTCTCATTTCCTTCCCTTAGCAGCCTGCAGTCCTGATGATCTCAGGAGGTATTCACATCAGTATTTCCTCCAGCTAAAAAACACCAAATTATCATCTGCTTAAGTCTTTTTTTTTCCTTGTTCTGTTTTGCACTGTTCTCAAAATACAAGTGAAAGACACAAGAGAAAAAAAAAAAAGAACAAACATTAAAACACAACACACAAAGAATCCTGAGCATACAATAAAGAGGACTTTAAATATTAGATGTCATGCACACTAAAAGCTACTACCACATTGCAGGTACACACACACAAAAAAACAATGCAGTAATAAAGTCTGTGTTGTCATTCACTCATGCAATTTAATTTCATAACTATATATGCAGGAAGACTTTTTACTTTTTAAAAACAAGGAATGGGCTCTGGAAAAAAAAAATGCTGAAGAGCGAATAGTAAATCGAAGGTTAAAATATCTGGATGAAGGAACGTTTGGGATGAGACTACAATTTAGAACCATCAAAAAGTACCTGAAATGGTTGCTGCTGAGATGAAAAAGCAGCAGAAACATTTGGCGGAAGCTGGGTTGCTATAGCAACGGGAGTCCCAGTCTGCCCATCCTTGCCTGTCACAACCTTTACCTGAGAGAAATATTTTGAGAAAAAAAGGCAACATAATTTTTAAAACTGCTCAAAATTTTGTTAGAATTTCATTGCTGACAGTTCGCTAACTTGGGTGTTTAGAATGGATTATTTCTGCACTCTGAACTGACATCTTCATTGCATAAAACCTAACAAATGCCAGTGTTCAGGGGCTTCTGTTTGGTCACAGGCAGCACCCTAGATTCTGCAACCTCAGGTTTTAAGGTGGGAATAGCAGACAGACTCAAGTTACAGCAGCTTATAGTTCCTTGGGCCATCTGCACCACAATACTACATTGTGTATGTACTATGTGGGGGTCACAGAGCAAAGGTCTACTTCAGCAGACACTTGGGGAGATTTGCTTCATCACAAATACATATAAGGTGACTGAGCTTACAGGCAACATCAGTATACAAACATAAAGAAAACTAAATTTCACTGTTTTATAGCACTAGTAGGTAAGGTCCTTGAAATAATCATACAGACCTTCTGAAAAACATAAGATCTTCTGAAAAAAAGAAAACACAGATGGCAAAGCCACACAAATACATCCATAGATGTCAGTGAGGAGCAAAGAGACAAGCTTTTGCTCACCAAAAGCTGGTATTTTTGCTGAAGGGCTGACAAAGGTTTAAAATATTTTGTATCATAGAACAAAATAAGCTCCACCAACAGTATACACTACACAACACAAAGGCACAAAATACAGTGCATCACAATACAGCACACTATCGCCCTGGTACTCAGGAAGCACAGATCCGAGATCCTTAGCAGCCACAATGGTGTAGGATTTACTGGGCCCCATTCTAGGTACCCAAAAATTAACTGTCTACAAAAGATTCTATCTCATTCAATATAGGTCTGCAAAGTGTGAGTTTAACACATGATCTCAAATCTAAAACTACATCTAAAAATTGGGGAAAAAATTCAGTGTTGTTTTTGGTATTTTGTTTTTTGACACAATACCTGTACTTTAATTATAAAGATACATACAAACACATGTAGTAACTTATAATTTATGGCTGATCATTTAAACCCCCTTTAAAAAGCCACATTGGTGGATATTTTTATGTACAGACTTACACAAGATGAAACCTGGAAACCAGGCAAGAGGCAACAAGTTTCACTCCTCTACCCAAATCTTGTAGGCTGTCCTGGGTGTCAGCCAAGGACTACACCCAAACAGAAGGAGAAACATGGACCATGAAGGCTGAGCTCTCTGCCCAAGAGGTCCTGGGTCTCGGTGACCACACCCAGCACCAAGAAAGTGTTACTAGTCACAGGACCATCCTGCCCATTCCTCCTGATGCAGGTACAGTGAAGTGGTGCTTCCTCTCCGTGAAGGAATAAAGAAATGCACTCTTCTGAACTTTACCCCTCCATCAGATCCTTATAGAACCAAAGGCTTTGCAATAACCCAAGCTCATTACTTTGTTGTATATATCTAACCAGTGTCACATAGGCCCCATAGATTACTAAGCTGTTTCTTACCTCATCATTGATAACTTCAGATTTTTCTTCCTCCTCCTCCTCTTCCTCCTCCTCCTCTTCTTCAATGTCCAAATCATTCTGCCTAAGGTATGCTTGCAGTGGAGCATAGTGCTTCTTCTTGAAGGCTAGGAAGTCCATCATGTTGCCCTGAAGGTGCTGCAGGAAGAACAGCTCAATCAGACACTCTTGGAAGACCTCTCGGAGCGCCTCCATCTCCTTGTGGTGGTGGTCCAGGCATTGCTTCCTCATCTGCGCCAGCTCCTGGGAGGCTGGAGGGATCTCCTCCAACTTCTTGGGGGCCTTTTTCACCCCTGCACTCCCTGCAGATGTGAGGGGCAGACTAGAAAGGCCTGGGGGCATGGCAGTCCTGGACGGGCTGGTTGGTGGTGGTGGGGACGTCATACCAAATGCTGAGGTGCTCCCAACCCCAGGGAGCAGCATACCAGGTGTCCTCTCAAAGCTCAGAGGTCTGCTCAGAGGTTGCCCCTGGAGCACCTGCTGCTGCTGGATCAACTGGCCCTGGATGAGGCTGCTGATCTGAGGTGGCAGGCTTGCCGTGGTGATATGACTTGGGCTGGCCAGAGGCTGCAGACCAGCCCCTCCTGCAGCTGCAGGGCTCTGGGGCCCCAGATGGTGAATGGTACCTCCAGACTGTGTATGAGGCTGGGATAGTCGCCGTTCTGGAACTGTGACAGGAGCTCCTGCATGCTGGAGCTGAACCTGTGCTCCCTGAGCCATCTGGGTGAGGCCTGGTGCCTCCTGAAACACAAAGTGCCCACCGCTGGATGGGCTCAAGCTGATCTGCCTCACAAGAACACTGGCATCCACAAAGCCTCCAGTGGGGCTATTGCTGCAAATGCCAAGCCCAGGGGTTGGAGCACCTGCTCGCACACTCTGCAAGGCCTGTCCTGGCCCAGGGCTAGCCTGCGTAGGGCTTTGCGTCTGGACCTGCTGGGACAGAGGGGAAGTAACTTGAATGTAGGATGGAGAGCCATGCTCAAACCGCCTCTGCTGTGCACTGAACTGGAACCCTGGAGAGGTAGGGTTGGGTAGTGGAAGGGGGGCCAGTGTGATCTGCTGGTTCCCTCCCACGATGGGACCGACGTTCTGCAGGGTGATGTTCACACTCTGCCCAGCCACAGGGCTCCTGCTCATCAGCTGCTGGATCTGGTAGCCAGGGGACTGGGGTGCAGACGGGCTGGCAGATGGAGCGAAGGGTGCTGCAGGGGATGGAGGTAGGTTTGGGTGAGCTGGCTGCTCTTCTTCGCTGCCAGTGGAGGACCTAGACCTCTGCAGCTGATGCTGGACATGCTGAGGGCCATTTCCATGGTGCATTGTCACCTCTCTTTTTTAATCCAAAGTATTTGTTCTCCTAGAAAATCAAAATTAAAGTCAACCTACTGGAAGGCAGATACAATTATCACTAATATGATTACCATTGAAAGGCACTGAAGAGTCATAGAGTATATGTTCACATGGATTCAAACAAGATCACCTATTATTAACTCTTCTCAGACAATGTACGAAGGCCTATTAATTATTACCTACAACTTCCTTCCTTCCTCTTCTCTCCAGCTACTCAACATGCCAACTAGAAAGAATGTTAAGGGAAGATATTCTAACTCTCCAACCCTGGCTGCCATGAAGCAGGAGGTCAAGAAGATAGTAAACCCCATTTGAGAAAGGCCTAAGCATTTTGGTACTATACAGGACATCCAGCCCAACAGAACCTCATTCACTCTGTAAATGGCCCCACTGTGTCTGCTGCAGTATCAAAAGGCTCTTCTCTATAAGCAGCTGAAAGTGCTTCCCAAAATTCACCAAGGACTTGGATGCCAAATACCTGCCCAACAGTGTAAGTGTAAGCTGCTCCCCAAGGGCAGACCAGAGAAGAAGAAAGAGATAAAACTGTTGGCTCAAGCTGGAAAGAAAACTGAACAGTTTTCCCATTAAGAGACTACAGTCCTCTGTGAAGAAGTCAATATAGTTACCACTTCGGTGGTAACTATACAAAACTATAACTGAAATGCACAAAAGTAATAATAACTTGTTTTTCAAGACAGGCACCAGTGGCCCACATCTATATTCTAGCTACTCAGGAGGCTGAGATCTGAGGATCACACTTTAAAGCCATCCCAGGCAGGAAAGTCCATGAGACTCTTATCTCCAATTAACCAACAAAACGTTGAAGTGGTAGAGTACCAGCCTTGAGTGGAAAAAAAGAAGCCAGAGCTCTAGGCCCTGAGTTCACATCCCAGTTCCAGCATGCTCATGTGCATCTGTTGTGTGCACACACACACACTCTCACAAAAAAGTTGACAACCCTCATCTCCATCATATAAGCTGGTCGTGGTGTTGTATATTCAAGAGACCATTCGGCAAGAGCCTACCTGAAAAATAACTAAAGCAAAGAAGGGCTGGAAGAACAGTTTATGAGGCCCTGAATTCAAATTCCAGTACCACCAAATAAAATACACACACACACATATACATATACTTATCAATAATAATCCACAAAGATATGTCAAAGTATTAATACTGACCTGAAACTGATGAACAAATAGACTATGGTGGAGCTCACAGCAGAGCACAGACTCAGCAACTGAAGAAAAGGAGCTACTGAACCACCCAACAGCTCGGGTGAATTCCAGCCCAAGAAGCCAAGTGGCAACCCAATGCACACCACGCACATACGAATCACTCACTGACAGAACATTCTGGAAAAGGAAAAAACACAGGGCTGGAGGTTAGGCGAGAAAGCAGTAGGGCTGAAGATAGGGAAGGGCTCACTACAAAGAAGCAAGAGAAACCTGAGGAATGGGGCTATGTCTATAGCCTGATTTGTAACAGTGGTTTCAAGACATAATGCACGCTTCACAAATTCACAGAACTATATGAAAACTGTGAACTTTTAACTGTCTGTAAAATATGGCTCAAGCCATCCTGAGGCTTGAACTTAGCATCTGGGTGCTACTCAGGAGCGTCTTTTGCTCAAGGCTAGTGCTCTACCACTTGAACCATGGCTCCACTTCCAGCTTTTTGCTGGTTAGCTGTAGATTACAGTGTCCCAGACTTTTCTTGCCTGGGCTGACTTGGACACCTTGACTACCAGACCTCAGCCCCTTGAGTAGCTAGACTATAGACACGAGCCACTGGTACCTGGCTTATAACTAATTTAATAAAGGAATGGTTCCTGACTTCAGTGAGTTCACAGTCCGGTTAGAGAAATAAACACAATCAACCAAAATGCTTTGATTTGTTTCCCCAAAACATAGTGCAAGTAACTCAACAGATAGCAGGAAATGCCTATAGCCATACCACCCAAAACACCTATCTCAGATATCAAGAAATCATGAAGCAAGACATTTGTTTGTGTTTTCATAATATTCATATACATTTATAGGGTACAGAAGCGGCAATTAAATAAATGGTGTTCTACCACTTGAGCTGAAACATAACAATTACATTTTATGTGATGATTGGGAGGGGATGGCACCACAGCAGCAGAGTAGTGACAGCCCTGTAACACACATCACCCTAGGCCTAGCCATTTGCAGCTCCTTCCTCCACTAAAGTATCATCGCTCTTCAGAACTCCTTCTTACAGAATGCCATCTTTAATCCCTGAGAACCATTTCAAGTCATCTTTGCTTTCTCAAAAGACAACAAAAGACTTTACAATTGGGACTCTAGGGGCAGGACTCAAGTAGTAGGCCCTGAGTTCAGGCACCAGTACAGCCCAAAAAGACAAAAGAAAAAAATATTCTAATAATCACTTTTATCTAAAGAAGTTAAAATAAAACAATCAAAAGACTGAGATTTTAGGATCAAGGTTCCAGGCCAGCCCAGGTAGAAAAGCCTATAAAACTTATCTCCAATTGACTGACTGACAAAAAGCCCCAAGTAAAGATATGGTTCAATTGGTAGAGTGCCACCAGCCTTGAGCAAAAAGGCTAAGAGTTCAAGCCTCAGTACCAGCAAAAATAAATAGTTGAACATATTACAAACAGGTCACGCCAGGCACCGGTGGTCTTAACTACTCAGGAGGCTGAGATCTGAGGATCACCATTCAAAGCCAGCCCGGGCAGGAAAGTCCATGAGACTCTTATCTCCAATAAACCACTCGAAAACTGGAAGTGGTGCTGTGGCTCAAGTGGTAGAGCACTCGCCTTGAGCTGAAGAGCGCAGGGACAGTGCCCAAACCCAGAGCTCAAGCCCCACGACCGACCAAAAAAAAAAAAGAGGATTAGGTTATAGCACTTAAGTCACAAGTGAGGCCCTGGGCTAATCCATACTACCATCAAAAAAATTAAAAGGTGAAATCATAGCAGGCTTTTAACCTGAGAAACCTCAAGCCCCTTTTCAGAGAGGTATGAAATGCTTTAGCAAACATGGAGCAGTGACTCCAAAACACCATTTTTTTTCTTTTGTCGGTCCTGGGACTTGAACTCAAAGGCTGGACACTCACTGTCCCTGAGTCCTTCTGCTTAAGGCTACTGCCTTACCACTTTTTTGGGGGGGTCCGGTTATGGGCTTGAACTCTGGGCCTGGGCACTGTCCCTCAACTCTTCAGCTCAATGCTAGCGCTCTACCACTTGAGCCACAGCACCACTTCTGGCTTTTTTTTTCTGCTTATGTGCTTTTCTGCTTTGGAATCGAACCCAGGGCCTCATGCATGCAAGGCAAGTGCTCTACCACTGAGCCACCTTCCCAGCCCTGCCTTACCACTTTTGAACCACAGCTCCACCTCTGGTTTTCTGGTGATTAATTAGGATGGGAGTCTCACAATTTTCCTGCCCAGGGCTGGCTTCAAACCACGATCCTCAGAGCTCAGCCTTCTGAGTAGCTAGGATTAGACATGACGTCAGCCACCAGTGCCCTACTCAAACCACCACTCTCTATGTCATTCTCAATCTTTTCTACTGAACCATAAAGAACACTTGACACAGTTCTAATTTCTCTAGCCCCTGGAAAATGCAAGAGTGGCAGTTACATGTGTTTGTTCTCTGTTCCTGTGCCATGGCTGTTTGGAAGCCTCAGCCACTATAATCACCAAGAATTTTTTCATTCCTCTTTCAAGATCCAGTGTCTACACTGTAATGAGATATGGCCTTCAGGACTTAAGGTTCTGATGTACACAGGGCTCTGGTGGCACACCCCTATGATCCTAGCTATTCAGAAGGCTGAGATCAGAGGATCGTAATTCAAAGTCAAGCCAACCTGGAGAACAAAAGTCCCAGATACTCTTCGCTGGTCTTGGGGCCTGGGTGCTGTCCCTCAGCTCTTCAGCTCAAGGCTAGCACTTGAGCTGCAACACTACTTTCGGCTTTTTTGCTTATGTGGTGCAGAGGAATCAAACCCAGGGCCTCATGCATGCTAGGCAAGCACTCGACCACTGAGCCACCTTCCCAGCCCCCCCCCCCAACTCTTATCTCCAATAAACTACTCAGAAGAAGCTAGAAGTGCCACCGTGGCTCAAGTGGTAGTAGAGTGCTATTCTCGAGCACAAAAAGGCTAGAAAAGAAGTATCAGAGATGACAGTGTCCGAAAAGAAATGTACTCTTTACCCGACTTTCCTAACGCTAGCCTCTGCACGTCACCTTTATAATAACAAAAACACGAACTGCAAGAGCCATTCTCTCGCTCGCACAAAGCGCACGCACACTCACCCTCACACTCACACACGGATGGGCGGGGCCCTGCCCCAACGACGACCCATTTCCACGACCAGACCAGGGCCTCGACAGAGCTCAGAGCTCAGAGAGGCACAGCTCAGGCTTCGGCTCCTTTCACATCCTGCCTTGTCCGGCCCAGGCTCGGGCCCACGTCGGGGAGGCCGCGGCCCAGGCTCGGGCCCACGTCGGGGAGGCCGCGGCCCAGCTCCGCCCCACCCCGCCCCGCCCCGGCTCGGGCCCACGTCGGGGAGGCCGCGGCCCAGGCTCGGGCCCACGTCGGGGAGGCCGCGGCCCAGGCTCGGGCCCACGTCGGGGAGGCCGCGGCCCAGGCTCGGGCCCACGTCGGGGAGGAGGCCGCGGCCCAGCTCCATCCCGCCCGGTCCAGGCTCGGGCCCACGGGGAGGAGGCCGCGGCCCAGCCCCGCCCCGCCCCGCCCCGGCTCGGGCCCACGTCGGGGAGGCCGCGCACTGCGCGTCCCGGGCTGTCCGGGCGGCGGGGCCCGCCCAACGCCGCGCGCGGGGATCCCGGCCGGCCGAAGAGGGCCTCCGGGGCCGGCCCGCCGCCGCCCGCCCCTCCAGAGCAACGCCGCGGCCGGGGCCCGCCGCGGCGCGGGCGGCTCGACGCCTAGACCCCCCCGCCGCCCGACGGCCCGCCGCCCGCTCACCCTGAGCCTCCGGGCCGCGCTCCGAGGCGTCCGAACGGCGGCAGGCTCGAACGCGCCACAGCCGCTCGGTGCATCCGGGTCCGCGGGCGCCGGAAGCGACGGCGCGGCGGCTACGGCGAGCGAGAGGGGCGCACGCCGGGCTGGGACGCCGCTCACGACCGCGCGAGGGCGCCCGTCGGCGCCGGGACGCGGCGGGGCGGAGGTGCGGAGCTTGAGTCGCGGGCGGACAGGGCCGGGCGCGGGACCGGGGCCAGGGCGGAGGTCGGGGCTAAGGACGTGGGGTCGGGGCTGAGGGCCGGGGCTGAGGGCCGGGCCGGGGTCGGGGCTGAGGGCCGGGACTGAGGGCCGGGGCTGAGGGCGGGGTCGGGGCGGGGTCAGGGCCGGGGCTGAGGGCCGGGGCTGAGGGGCGGGGTCGGGACTGAGGGCCGGGGCTGAGGGCCGGGGTCGGGACTGAGGGGCGGGGTCGGGGCTGAGGGCCGGGGTCGGGACTGAGGGGCGGGGTCGGGGCTGAGGGCCGGGCCGGGGTCGGGGCTGAGGGGCGGGGTCGGGGCTGAGGGGCGGGGTCGGGGCTGAGGGCCGGGGCTGAGGGCCGGGGTCGGGGCTGAGGGGCGGGGTCGGGGCTGAGGGCGGGGGCGGGGTCGGGGCTGAGGGCGGGGTCGGGGCTGAGGGCCGGGGTCGGGGCTGAGGGGCGGGGTCGGGGCTGAGGGCGGGGGCGGGGTCGGGGCTGAGGGCGGGGTCGGGGCTGAGGGGCGGGGTCGGGGCTGAGGGCCGGGGCTGAGGGCCGGGGTCGGGACTGAGGGGCGGGGTCGGGGCTGAGGGGCGGGGGCGGGGCTGAGGGCCGGGGCTGAGGGGCGGGGTCGGGGCTGAGGGCCGGGGCTGAGGGCCGGGGTCGGGACTGAGGGGCGGGGGCGGGGCTGAGGGGCGGGGTCGGGGCTGAGGGGCGGGGTCGGGGCTGAGGGCGGGGGCGGGGGCGGGGCTGAGGGCCGGGGCTGAGGGGCGGGGCCGGGGCTGAGGGGCGGGGTCGGGGCTGAGGGGCGGGGGCGGGGCTGAGGGCCGGGGCTGAGGGGCGGGGTCGGGGCTGAGGGGCGGGGTCGGGGCTGAGGGCCGGGACTGAGGGGCGGGGTCGGGGCTGAGGGGCGGGGTCGGGGCTGAGGGGCGGGGTCGGGGCTGAGGGCCGGGGCTGAGGGCCGGGGTCGGGACTGAGGGCCGGGGTCGGGACTGAGGGGCGGGGTCGGGGCTGAGGGGCGGGGGCGGGGCTGAGGGGCGGGGGCGGGGCTGGGGGCGGGGTCGGGGCTGAGGGCCGGGGCGGGGCCGGGGCTGAGGGGCGGGGTCGGGGCTGAGGGCTGGGGCGGGGTCGGGGCTGAGGGGCGGGGCTGAGGGGCGGGGTCGGGGCTGAGGGCTGGGGCGGGGCCGGGGCTGAGGGTCGGGGCGGGGCTGAGGGCTGGGGCGGGGCTGAGGGCGGGGCGGGGGCGGGGCTGGGGGCGGGGTCGGGGCTGAGGGGCGGGGCTGAGGGCCGGGGCGGGGTCGGGGCTGAGGGCCGGGGCTGAGGGGCGGGGCCGGGGCGGAGGGCTGGGGTGGGTCGGGGCTGAGGGGCGGGGCTGAGGGCCGGGGCTGAGGGCCGGGGCGGGGCCGGGGCGGAGGGCTGGGGTGGGGCGGGGCTGAGGGGCGGGGCGGGGTTGGGGCGGGGCTGAGGGGCGGGGTCGGGGCGGAGGGGCGGGGCCGGGGCGGAGGGCTGTGGCGGGGCTGAGGGGTGGGGCGCGGCTGAGGGGCGGAGGCGGGGCGGAGGGGCGGGTCCGGGGCTGAGGGGCGGGGCCGGGGCTGAGGGGCGGACTCCCAATGCCGGGCGGGGCCTGCGGCTCCCTGGAGCTCGCCAGGCTGCTCCAGCCCAGGTCTGTGGAGGTGCGGGGCTCGGAGTGCGGGCCGACCGAGGTGCAACCAGCGGGGCCGAGGCGCGAGTTGCCTCAGGCCTGTCACGCGGACTACCGAGGGGCTGAGCGCCGAGGGCGGCGCGGGCAGCTCGTCCCCGCCCAGCACCCCACCACCCAGGGGAAATAAAACCCGCTGGCACCACTGAGCCAACAGCATGGCTCAGGGGATGAAGCGCCAAGGCTGAATTCAAACCCCAGGAGCTCCGCAAAGGTGAGAGGAGGAATGTGCACCCTGTCACCCACGGGCGCCCCGGGGAGACCTGGCATCAAGCAACGCACGCGGGTGCGGGTCGTGCGGCGCGCTATCCCCTCAACCCTCACACTAGATGTGAGCAGGGCCGTTGGACGGGTGGTGTGGGATGCAAGGGCTTGCATGGTGGGAGGGGCGAGGATTCTACCAGCCGCAGCAGAAGGGGCAGCACACTGGTCCACCACAGCTCCCTCTGCGAGGAATGCACAGCAGATGGGCAGAGGGGAAGGCCTGAGGGCAGGAGGGAGGGTGAGGCATGTGCATACGCGTTGGAAGCTTCCAGGCTGCTAAACAGGGTAGGGTCTCCCCACAGCTTAGGAGCTGGCCAGCAATGGATTGGCTGAGACTATGGCAAGGGACTGCAAAGAGACAACTTCAGGGAGACCAGAAAGGGAAGGGCTGGAATGTCGGGTGGGCTGGAGGAACAAGGAGAGGGCGGCAGCAGCAGCACCACCTCTTGCTGCCTGCCCTTTGCTACCACATCCCTCAGCCACCTGTCCAATACCAACAGCAGCTCTCCATTTCAACACAGTGAGAAAAAGATAACATCAAACAAAACTTACTTTTATTTAATAAGAAACTCATCTCCTTATAAAAAAAATAGTGTCTTTCATGCCAAAGTATGCACACATAATGCATGAGCTAAAAATAGATTCAATGCAGGTATTCCTGGGAGGAAAATTCAATATCCTGAGGTTATGAAGCCAAGCCACACCTGACAGGCTGGCCCCAGAAATCTTGGCTCCCCATACCCAGGTGATGGGCACAGCATGGAGACCCTGGGTGGGGCTCTGCAGCTTCAGTCCGTGTCTCCATCTCCGTCACTGCCCTCCAGGGAACTAGGGACCTGCAGAAAGGGGACAGACAGGAAAACGACTATGGGTCTGGCACTTGCATCTCATGCAAGTAGGCATTCCTCCCCGGGGGTGGGGGAGGATTGGGGGAAGACCATGGCAATCTATCATCCGTCCTTCTTCCCCACTGAAGAGTCTGGTCCACAGTTATTTCACTCTAAAATATATATAGCAATTATCACCTGGTCGATCCAAGGGGCTGGCCTGAGGCTAGGTTAAGGGCAGTGTCAAATGCTCTCACACAGCAAAGCTGGCCCCCACTCCAGTGCCACCCTCATAGATGCAGATAGCTTCCAAGAGTACAAGGCTGGGATAAAACCATGCCTGAAATTTCCCATTCAGACCGGCCATGGGCCAGCATTACCCAGCACCACCTGGCTGGCTCCAGCTCAGTAAGTCGTAAGCACCTAGGTCACCTGGCACTGAGGGTAAAGAGTGAACAGGAGGCACGCCATGGCCACCAGTCCTCCACTGCTGTCTGCTTCTGGAGTGACATGTATGGGCCTTAGCATGCTCATGCATACACTAAAAATGGGAGCCAGTACTCACCCACTGGGCCAGCATCTTGAGACTCAGCCCTACCTTGGCGCTTGTGCTAGCAGTTGCGAGCGCAGTGGCACTGAAGTCATGGACAGGCAAGGTGCTCAGCCACTGGGCCATGGACCTCTCATCCCGCTCTGTGCTGACAATGGTGGGATAGATATACTGCTCCTTGAAGGCTGCCACCTTCCCCTCCTCCTGAGTCCAGTCCAGTGGCTCATGCAGCCCATCCCTGCCAAAGCGCTGGTTATACTTCTCAAAGTGCACCCTCTCCAGGACCAGGCCAAGCCCAGGTGCCTTAGGGACATCCACCTTCTCCTCCCCCCAGCTGCGCTCTAGCACACTTTCTGGGGCGTAGCCCTTCACAATGGCAACCACCAGGCCAACCATCTTTCGGATCTGGTGCATCATGAAGCTCTGGCCCTTGACCTTGATAACAGCAAACTCCAGGCCCTCACGCACAAAAGGCTCTTCACAGTACATCTCCAAGATGTAGCGCCGTGCACTGGGCTCCCTTGGCCCCTTCTGTGAGGTGAAATTGTGGAAGTTGTGGGTGCCAGTGTAGCAGGCCAGTAGCCTGTTGACTTGCTGCAGGGTCTCCGTGCTCAGGCGGTAGGTCTCATCCTGCACATCCCGGTCCTTATGGGCAAAGGCGAAGGTGGGCAGCATGTAAAAATATGTCCTGGCATCGCACTTGTTCTTGGAGTTGAATCCTCCAGTCACCCTCTTCAGTCCTGGAGCAGCACATAAAAGATGAGCATGAGCTAGCCATCGGTGACTCCTTCCTGCAATATCCTTGCTACTCAGGAGGCTGAGATCAGAGGATTGCAGTTTGAAGCCAGCCAGGACCAACCGAGAGAGAGAGAGAGAAAGAGAGAGAGAGAGAGAAGGTATTATGATCCATTCATATCAATTTCTGATCAGGGCTGGGGTGTGGCTCTGGTAGTACACCTGCCTGGCATGCACAAGGCCCGAGGTCCATCCTTAGCACAAGAAACTGTACCTTAAATACGTGTTAAAAGCCTGTGCATTCAAAGAACAACAGATTTTTCTTTTTTGAAAAAGGGGAGGAAAAGGAATGAGATAGGGGAAAGGAAAGTTGGAAGAAATGGGGAAATAGGGAAACGAGGAAAACAGGCTGGAATATGCCTGGAAAACTTGCTCAGCAAACACAGGCTCTTTTTGTTTGAAGCATTGCCAAGACAAAAAGCAGAGAAGCTAAGAACCCCATTTAGCAATTCTGTTACAAAAGGGAACAGCCATCCCCTTCTGACCAGGAATATGATGTCCATACTCACAGTGAAACAGCAATGTGAGACAGAGGCCTCACCCAAATGTCTGTCACAAGTGGCAGTTCTGACTCCCTGAAGACCTACGGCTGCCCTGCCACCTGCTAGGCACCTGCAGTTCTACTGCTCTACATCCCAGAAGATGGACAAAGAAGGCCAACCCACACAGCCCTGTGTCTCTCTGCAAGGCCACCAATAGCCAGGTTGCAGCCTGTTACACGTCAAGGCTTACCCAGAATCCGAATGTGGGATGGAAGGTGGCTGTTGATCTTGTCCAGAATGTCATCAATCAACCATACTTTCAGGGATACCACCTGACCAGCTGCAGATACACCCTGTAACAGAGTAGAGAGCTGGGAAGGTGGCTCAGTGGTAAAGCGCTCGCCTAGCATGCCTGAAGCCCTGGGTTCAATACCTCAGTACCACATACACAGAAAAAGCGGGAAGTGGAGCTGTGGCTCAAGTGGTAGAGTGCTAGCCTTGAGCAAAAGAAGCTCAGGGACAGTGTCCCGGCCCTGAGTTCAAGCCCCAGGAATGGCAAGAAAAAAAGCAGAGAAGCCAGGCGCCAGTGGCTCACACTTGTCATCCTAGTTACTCAGGAGGCTGAGATCTGAGGATCATGGTTCAAAGCCTGCCCAGAGAGGAAAGTCTGTGAGACTCTTATCTCTGATAAATCACCAGAAAACTGGAAGTGGTGCTATGGCTCAAGTGGTAGAGTGCTCACCTTGAGCTGAAGAGCTCAGGGACAGCGCCCAGGCCCAGAGTTCAAGTCCCACGGCTGACAAAAAAAAAAGGCAGAGAAGGAAGGAGAAATGGATGGAGCCATCCCCACCCTGAGTACAACCTTCAGCACCTCATTCCCTAACAGAGTGGGGCTAGGAGACATCCAGCTCCATAGGCCTCCAGAGACACCAGTGAACAGTGCTGTCGTTGGGCTTTGGTGGATGATGCACATCTGTAATCCTGGCTACTCAGGAGGCTGAGATCTGAGGATCATAGTTCAAAGCCAGCCTGAGCAGAAACAGCAAAAAAAAGTGGAAGTGGAGGTTTGGTTCAAGTAGCAGAGCACCCGGCTTGAGTGAAAAAGACAAGTGAAAGTATGAAGGGCCTGAGTTCAAGCCCCAGTACAGACAGGCATGCATGCACACATACACTCACACACACAAGACTATCCCAAGAATACCAGTGCAGGGCTGGCTCAGTGGTAGAGCGCTTGCCGTGCAAGCCTGAGGCCCTGGGTTCAGTTCCTCAGCACCACATAAGCAAAAAGAAAAAAGCCGGAAGTGGCACTGTGGCTCAAGTGGTAGAGCGCTAGCCTTGAGCTGAAGAGCTGAGTGACAGAGCCCAGGCCCAGAGTTCAGGCCCCACGACTGACACACACACACAAAAAAAATACCAGCATAGCCAAGGGCTGGTGGCTCACACTTACAACCCCAGGTAGACATGTCCACGTTACTCTCATCTCCACCTGACCAGCAAAAAGCCAGCAGCAGTGTTGTAGCTCACGTGGTAGAGAGCTGGGCTTGATCACAACAGCCCAGGGACCCTGGCCAGGCCACTAGCACAGGCACACGCGCAGTTCCGAGCAAGGGCACCCGAGGCCGGGCCTGGGGCGGCAGGGCAGGGGCTGCACCCACCTTGTCCGTTCGGGCACATCGCTGGAAGGACATCTTCCGCATGTCCGTGCCGTGGTTTTCGGGAATACAGCCGGCCCGGACGAGAGCGGACACCAGGTCGTCCTCGATTGTCTTGAACTGTGAGGACCCCACATTCCTCTGGGAGAGAGAGACAGCCGTGGCTGTTCCCGGGGTCAGCCTCGGGAGGGCCGTGGCCCAGGCGCGGCCCCCTGCAGGGGTCGGGGCCCTTCCAGACCCTTCCAGGCCCGTCACACCTGGACGGCGGGGCTGGGGGGCGGCTGCCTGGGCTGGGACCCGGGTCCCGGGGGGAGGCCCGCCCCGCGCACCTGCATGCCGTGGTAGCCCTTCCCCGAGTAGGCCACGAGCAGCACGATCTTGCGCTTGGGCGGCTTCCGCGGCGGCTCCGCGTCCTCGCCGCCCCTCGGCCGCTTGGGCGGCTGCGGCTGCGCCTCCTCCCACACCCAGCCGCCGCGGGCCCTCCGGTCGGGCTGGTGCGGGGCCCGCGCGGGGGGCGCCTCGTTCCCGGCCATGGGCGGCAGGCTGGGGAGAGGGGGCTCAAGTCGGAAGGGGACCGGGAGGACCGGGCGGGCGGCGCGGGACGGGCGGCGCGGGGCGGGGGGGGGGGGGGGGCGGGGGGGACGGGGAGGGGCGAGGCGGGGGGCGCGGGGCGCGGGGGGCGGCGGCGCGGGGCAGGGGGGGCGGCGCGGGGCGGGCGGGGGAGGGCGGGGGAGGGCAGGGGGGGCGGCGCGGGGGGCGGCGGCGCGGGGCGGGGGGGGGTGGGGGGGACGGGGAGGGGCGAGGCGGGGGGCGCGGGGCGGGCGGGGGAGGGCAGGGGGGGCGGCGCGGGGCGGGCGGGGGAGGGCGGGGGAGGGCAGGGGGGGCGGCGCGGGGGGCGGCGGCGCGGGGCGGGCGGGGGAGGGCGGGGGAGGGCAGGGGGGGGCGGCGCGGGGGGGCGGCGGCGCGGGGGGCGGCGACGCGGGGCGGGGGGGGGTGGGGGGGGACGGGGAGGGGCGAGGCGGGGGGCGCGGGGCGGGCGGGGGAGGGCAGGGGGGGCGGCGCGGGGCGCGGGGCGCGGGGGGGCGCGGGCGGGCGGGGCGCCAGCGCCGGGTCTTTACCGGGGCGCCCGCAGGCCGGGGCGCGCGGCCCACCGTCCCCAGGCCGTCAGCAGCGCTGCCCGCAGGCCCGGGAGACCCATGCACGGCGGCCGGCGGCGCCTGGCCGCCCGGGACACGCCAGCCTCCGACCTCCGCGGGACCCCGAAGCGAAGCTCTGACCTCTCCTGCCCCTCCTACCCCCACTTCTCAGGAGTCCGGAGACCCGGCCCGGGCTACCCGCCCGCGAAGCGGCGGACCACGTGGGCGAGGGCGGAAGCCGTCGGGAGGTGGACGGCGGCCGGACGCGATCAAAAGTCGGTCGCGGAAGAGGCGGGGCGGAGCGGGGCGCGGGGGAGGAGAGAGCAGGGCGCGGGGGAGAGAGGGCGGGGCGCGGGGGAGAGAGGGCGGGGCGCGGGGGAGAGAGGGCGGGGCGCGGGGGGAGAGGGCGGGGCGGGGCGCGGGGGAGGAGAGAGCAGGGCGCGGGGGAGAGAGGGCGGGGCGCGGGGGAGAGAGGGCGGGGCGCGGGGGAGAGAGGGCGGGGCGCGGGGGAGAGAGGGCGGGGCGCGGGGGAGAGAGGGCGGGGCGCGGGGGGAGAGGGCGGGGCGGGGCGCGGGGGGGGGGGGGGGGAGAGGCGCGGGGCGCGGGGGAGAGAGGGCGGGGCGCGGGGGAGAGGGCGGGGCGCGGGGAAGAGGGCGGGGCGCGGGGGAGGAGAGAGCGGGGCGCGGGGGAGAGAGGGGCGGGGCGCGGGGGAGAGAGGGCGGGGCGCGGGGGAGAGAGGGCGGGGCGCGGGGGAGAGGGCGGGGCGCGGGGGAGAGGGCGGGGCGCGGGGGAGGAGAGAGCGGGGCGCGGGGGAGAGAGGGCGGGGCGCGGGGGAGAGAGGGCGGGGCGCGGGGGAGAGAGGGCGGGGCGCGGGGGAGAGAGGGCGGGGCGCGGGGGAGAGAGGCGGGGCGCGGGGGAGAGGGGCGGAGCGGGGCGCGGGGGGGGGGAGGAGAGGGCGGGGCGAGCGGAGAGGAGGAGAGGGGCGGGGCACGGGGGAGGAGGGCCGGGGCCGCGGGGGAGAGAGGGCGGGGCGAGCGGAGAGGAGGAGAGGGGCGGGGCACGGGGGAGAGAGGGCGGGGCGAGCGGAGAGGAGGAGAGGGGCGGGGCACGGGGGAGAGAGGGCGGGGCGAGCGGAGAGGAGAGAGGGGCGGGGCACGGGGAGGAGGGGCGGGGCTAGCGGAGAGGAGGAGAGGGGCGGGGCACGGGGGAGAGAGGGCGGGGCTAGCGGAGAGGAGGAGAGGGCGGGGCACGGGGAGGAGGGGCGGGGCCGCGGGGCGGGCCCTGGCGCTCAGCCTCCCGCGGCTGGAAGAGGCTGAAGGAGCCCGGGGAGGGGAGCCAGGTGCCCAGGCCTCTGGACCGCAGTCAGGTGCCCTCGGGTGTGCGTTGGTGGGCAGCGGACGCACCGCCGGTGGGTCCAGCTTCGCACCCCGCGGCCCTCGGCGCCACCCCGGGAACCCGGCGAGGAGGCGGAGTCGCGTCTGCCCCGAAGCCGGGGCCGGGCCCGCCGGGATCGGCCCGCCGGGACCGGAAGCGGACCCGAGGCAGGCAGGCTCCGGGTGCACGCAGCAGGCTGGCCCGGCACCGGGGGGCCTCGCAGTGGGGACCCGGGGCGGGGATAAGGCTGGGAAGCCGAGGCTCCTGCCTGCCCAGGCCCGCGCCCTGCCCTGACCCCGGGGAAGGAGGGGCACAGCTCCCAGGGCCTGCACCCCAGCTGCCCGCACCCCTTCCCCGGGACTGGTTCCGGACCGGCTGGAGCAGGGAGACGGCCCCGGCCCCCGAGCCCAGCCCTGCGCGGGGCACCAGCAGTTCCCGGACGGAGGAGCCCCGTGCCGCCGGCCCCACCCGTCCTGACAGCCGGAGCCGGAGGGTGAAGCTGTGCCCGCCGAGTCGGGCCTGACCTCCGGGTGTCAGACGGTCCGAAGCGAGGCCGCGGCGGGGCCGGGCCCCAGCCCACACAGCCCCAGCACAGACCGGGCCCCCCGGCCCACACCGAGGCCGCAGCCCCGGGCCCCGACCCGGGCCCGGCCCCGCGCCCCGCACAGGCAAACGGGCCTTCTTACTTTGTGCCTTTCTCTGCCAACCTGATTCACTGCAAATACGAACACCAGTCCGGAGAACGCTGCAATGTGGCTCCCGGGCGGCAAGGGCCTGGACTGGCCTCCAGGCAGCGTTTCTCCTGCCCAAGACAAGCCTGTTCTCTGGGGTCCACTTGGAGCCAGCCCCTGCTGGGTTCCAAGGTCCCCACTTCCCATGTCCTCTCAAAATACGGCTTCTTGATGAACTCCCACTCTTAATACTGTCCCTAGCCTTTTAGTAATGTTTTGTTCAGTCGTTTAGGGCTGGGAAGGTGGCTCAGGGGTAGAGCGCTTGCCCTGGGTTCGATTCCTCAGCCCCACATAAGCAGAAAAGGCCAGAAGTGGCGCTGTGGCTCAGGGGTAGAGCACTAGCCTTGAGCTGGAGAGCTGAGGGGCAGCGCCCAGGCCCAGAGTTCAAGCCCTAGGACCAGCACAGAAGAAAAAAGCAAGCCCTCCCTGTACAACTAATGCATGCTACCAAAAAAACAAAAAACTCAGCCCCAGTGACACCACATCAACAATTCCAAGTTTATTTCCTTAAATTGACATTTCACAGAGGGACATAAAAGGGGGGGACTCACATAAAACTCATTTTAATATAGATAGGGAGGACGGGGGAGCCTGGACGCTACTTTGTGGAGAACAGGATTTGCACCCAGCATCCATAACCAGACACGCGCACACGCACACGCACACACACACACAGCTGGAAACCACAGGACCAGGGGGGTAGTGAGTCCCTCGGGTGCCACACACACACACACACACACACACACACACACACACACACACACACACAGAGCTACCAGGAAACCACAGGACCAGGGAGCAGTGAGCCCCCTCCCCGCAGTCACTCCAGTGGTTCTGGACTTGCTGGCCAGAGCAGTAAATGTAACACTTCCATGCAACAAGGGGAGCCGGGGATGATGATAAAGGAAACTAGTCTTGGGGGCATTTTCTTACTCATCCAAGCACAGTGGCAATATTTCAAGTATTGCAAAGAGAAACACTTGTGTCTGTGTGTGTCTGTCCTTTGAGGGAACCCTTGCTTGGAAGTGCAGACCCACATCTGCCTGTGGACACCCAGAGATACATTCAAGTAGGTTGGAGCAGGGCCCAGGCCATGCTGTCGAACCAGGGAGGCCAGGCAGTATCTGGCTCATGTCCACCATGGAGCCTAGAAGACAGGCCTCAGCACGGTCTCCAATGGATGCGGGAGCCTTGCCATCCAAGCGGTGTTACACCTGACGAGGGAGGCTTTGCATATGTGTTACTGTGCCCTCGCGAGGGAGCTGGACAGGACAGTGGGCAGACAGCTAGCGGAGGCACGTGCGGTAGCCGACCTCCGGCAGCTCAGCACTCCTGCACACCCGGCAGCGCCAGATCGGCTCCAGGCGCCCCACCTTGCCCCACCCCTCCCAAGCAATTTCTTAAACATCTAAGTCTCCTTCTTGAAAGAAAACATGAGCTTCAGGAAAATAAGACATTTTATACATAAAGTGAAAAGATCATGACAGGTGTTCACGGTATAGTGAGCTGGTGTTTCTGACTGTCCTTAAAATAACATTTAAATAACAGTACTCTCCTCCCTCCCCTCCACCCCCAGGGAAGCCTGTTCCATTTTCCTTCTGAGGACCAAACACAGGCAGTGGCACACTCCAGGCTATTAATGTTTGTATACAGGTATCTGCATATGTACATACAACACCTCAGATGGCGGGACTGGGGACTGGGAACAGGAGCCGTTTCCCAGTGGTCTACGCTGTAGGCCAGGAAGGGGCCAAGTCCTCCAGTCTCTGTCTATATAAAGTGCTTGGGTGACTTACAAAGCTGGGTGGGTGATTTCAGAGGGAGAGGTTCCTAGAGAGATGGGGAGGCCAAAAGGCTACACCCCTTTTCCTGGGTGAGCAAGGGAGCAAGTGAGCCATGAGGAGAAGCTTGCTTTGGCTTGGAGTCAGCAACACAGTCTTAGGGCCTTGCCTACCCTTGGGGCTGTCCAGTGCACCTGCCCGCCACCTCTTGGCACCGTGACTACCTGCCAGGGGAGAAGACAGCCAGGAAGGACAAGCTCAGGAAGTCCTGTCTGGTGGGGCAAAGGCCCGTTCCAGGTGTCCATCCTGCAGGCCACTGCCAGCAGAGAGGGCAGCTGAGGCGGTGGGGCGGGGCCAGGCCGGTGGCCTCAGGTGCTTGGCTCCACCTAGCGTCATCACAGAAGCTGGTAGGTGGCAGGCTCAGCACCGTCAAATCTGTGCTGAGGTGCAGAGTCTGGCCAGTACACATCCTACATGTCTGCAGAGTCCAGCTCCAAGGACACCACAGCCAGACAGCAGAGGCTCAGGCACAGACGCCGGTCAGGAGGGCTGAGAGTCTCCGCTCGATGCACAACTTGCCTGTGGGGGAGGAAGCATGAGTGTGGGGTGTGGGAAACGCTGCGTCTCCCGGCCCCCGGCAGCCCCCAGCCACGGGGCTCCAGGCGCACTCACACTTGGCGATATTGTCGATGTCAGCCTGGTCCGTGAGCATGTGCTGCAGCCCCTCCAGCAGCAGCAGCGCCTTGTGGTAGCGCGGCACACAGCCCTGGCGGTGCTGGAACAGCTCGTCCAGGGCGGCAGACTGCACCTGAGGCACAGATGCAGCTGAGCATGAGGCCCCCAGGGCTGGCCATGGCCGACAGGCCTCAGCCAGAGCCTCCGCCTCACACGGGGCACATGCACAGCCAGGGCCTGATCAGCACTGAGCCCGACGGCCAAGAGGCCGCTGCCAAGTGCTAGCTGTGGCCACCAGGGGGGCCCAGGTGACCAGCTCCGCCCTGTGTAGCCGCTATGCTCTTGCTCTCTGGTTGGTCCAAAGAAGGCTCTCAATCCCACCCTGGCAACAGGAGCAACGGTGCTGGCCATAAGGCTCACAGTTCCCCAGCCACCAGTGCCACTCGGACCACCGTGGTGACCACCACACCCCAATAAAGTCCCCAATGCCTTTATTCTGAAGGCCACAGCATGGACACACTATGTGTTCCAAGTACCTCAAAACCGCTAATAAAGGCCAGGCCACCAACTTCCCACAAGGCACAGAAGATAGGCCTCTCGCTTGTTGCTAGCATCTTGGGCTACGACGCCAAGCCCTGCTCCCCGTACCATCTGCACAGCGTGGTTGAGGATGAGCCTCTCGGCCGTGACGCTGTGAACGCCGTCCAGCAGCCGCTGCTTGTCCAGGAGGAAGCGCTGCAGCCGCAGGCTCAGGCCTTGGCAGGACTCCACGCTGGCCTTGTACAGCTCATTCAGCCTGCGCACCACTGCAGGAGGAGGGCCGCGGTCAGCTCAGCCTCTGCAGAGACCCGCAGACCTGCGGGAAGAGCTGAGCAAGGGCAGGCTGGGGCCTGGCGAAGAGGAGGAGACGGGACGGGCCCATCCATCTCACCCCTTGCCGCCAGTCCCCAGCAATCCCGACCTTGGATGCAGCTCAGAGTCGTGTCCAAGATGCCCGCGCCCACATCCTCTGCCCAGCACCAGACTGCGCAAGCTCTCGGCGCCCGTCTGGCCTGGGCCTATGACTCCTCCCTGCTCTCACCCTGCTTCACCGTGGACGACAGGCAGAGCTTGCCGGCCCGGATCTGGCCGATGGCTGTCTGCAGGCCAGAGGACAGCAGCTCAGCCGCCTTCAGGTACAGCACGAGTTGCTCTGCGAAGCTGAGGGGAACGGTCAGGTCAGAGGCAGTGCAGACCCAACCCCCCCGCCCCGCACCCCGGCCCAGGCCGCCCCCCCCCCCCCCCCGCACCCCGGCCCAGGCCGCCCCCCCCCCCGGCACCCCGGCCCAGGCCGCTCCCCCCCCCCCGTACCCGGACCCAGGCCGCCCCCCCCCGCACCCCAGCCCAGGCCGCTCCCCCCCGCACCCCGGCCCAGGCCGCCCCCCCCCCCAGCACCCCGGCCCAGGCCGCCCCCCCCCCCCCGGCACCCTGGCAGCACTCACCCCCACTCCCGGCTCAGCAGGCTGATCTGGTCGGCCACCATGCTCTCCTGAAGCTGGTACTCTGGGCCCCCACCCGCCTCGCTGGCCCTGCCCTTCAAGGCTGCAATCTCCAGCACTTGTTGGACGAACGCGAGTGTGAAGCGCAGGCTGTGCAGAGTCTCTGTGTGCTCTTGCTGGGGAGGACTACAGGTCAGGCCCTGGAGGGCTGGGGATGCTTTTGCTGCAGGGGAGAAGGGCAGCCCCCCCACTCCAGCCAGGGACCCTGGGCCTGACCTCCATGAGGGTCTCCTCAGGAAGGTCGGGGGCCTCGAAGGTCACGCCCCCCTCCAGGTTGTCGGCAAAGCTGTAGCAGTGGCCCGGGGCGGGGAGATCAGGGGCCTCGCTGCAGGGCCCAGGCACCAGGTGGCGGGCAGAGGGACCTGTGGGGCCCAGAGCCGGGGAGCCTGCTGTGAGAGACGAGGCACTGCGCCCCCCGCCCCGTGGAGCCCAGGGATGGGGACCCTAGGGTCGAGAGGGCCTTCGCCTGTGCCTGATGCAAAGCAGGGCATACAGGGTGGGCTGGGCCAGTCAGAGGGCCCAGGTCACCACCCACAGAGCTACCCAGAAGTAAGGAATTTGGAGCCATGGATGCAGGCTGAGGGGACCCCTAGATGCCAGGCAAGACTGGACGCTAGGGGAAGAAAGCCAGACGGCCACGCCCTCACTACAGGGGTGGCACTGTCCCAGCCCCGGAGGTGTCCTGGTGGCACCACTGGCCTGTGTATGCTGATGACTGAAGCAGTCTGCCTGGGACGAAGAACTGGGCAGAGGGACCCACCCCAAGGTACCGCTCAGCCTCACAGCCCTTACCTGAGAACATTCTGGTGCGGGAGGGGCCTTGGGGTGGCGTGGTCCCGCTGGGGGGAGAGCCCACGGTAAACACTACCGGGGACGGGCTGCTGGCCCCCCCAGCACGGACTCCTGGGTGCAGGGTCCCTCCGGAGCCAGCCGAGGGTGCTGGGGGACAAGGTAGGCTTAGGGCCTGTTCTGGGGCTGCCCCGCCCCCACCCCTCTAGACCCCTGCCTACCAATCTCCATGGGCTTCTCCTGCAGGCTGTCTGTGCTGCCCGAGTTCGAAGCCTGGGTGCCAAAGGCAGCCTTCAGGAGCAGGTCGGTGAGGCGGCTGCTGCTGAAGGACCTGCGTGGCGGCAGGGAGGGGTTTGCGGGAGGAGCAGCAGGGAGCGGCAGGGAGGGGTGTGCAGGAGGGGCGTGTGGGAGGAGCGGCAGGGAAGGGCGTGCAGCAGGGCAGGGAGCGGCGTGTGGGAGAGGAACGGCAGTCTGGGCCCCTCGCGTGGCTGGCACACTCCACTCAGCCACCATTGCCCTATCTTAGATGGGGAAACTGAGGCGCAGGTGAGCAGCCCTGAACCAGGGTCCCGACGCCTGCCACACTGGGAAAGCCGCAGCAGCAGATACTGAATCCAAAGCCAGAGTCAAGCCAGGCACTGGTGGCTGGCGCCTATAATCCCAACTACTCAGAACTGAGGCTGAGATCCAAACCAGCCTGGTCAGGAAAGCCAAAAATACGGTGTAGCTCAAGTGGTAGAATGTCAACCTTGACCAAAAAAGCACCCAGGTGGCGTTCACACCCCAGGGCCAACACACACGCAAAACCAAGGCAAGACAATGCCAGGACACAGCCCTCTCCCCCACTCACCGGGCAAAGGGGCCCCGGGCTTCTTCAGCGGGCCTCAGGCCGGGGCCCAGCGGCTGTCCCTGGAAGGGCCCTGCCTCTGAGAGATCGGGCAGCGTGCGGTTCCGAGGGGGCGGCACCACTACACCCTGCCGCGCCAGCAGCGCCAGCAGGTTCTGGGAGCTGGGGGCCTTGGGAAAGTCGAAGGAGGGCCCGGCCTGGGAGGAAGCCAGGGGCTGAGAAGGCTGGGCTCCCCAGAACAACACACCGGGCCCGAGGGGGCCCGTGCCGCGCCTGTGCCAGGCCGGGCAGGCATGTATGTGTGCGGGCTTGAGCCTGAGCAGGAAGGGGAGCCGCAGGGCGGGTTCCGCACCTCACCCCCCCCGGGCTTGGGGCTGTGGGGAGCGCCTGTGGTTACCTTGGTGGGGGAGCCCAGGATGGGGGGCAGGGGGCTCCGCTGCAGAAAGTCAGGCAGCTTGGGGGAGCCGCGCAGGGGATGGCAGGATGGCAGCACGGGGCAGGGCTGGGGGGCGCTGCTCTGCGGGGGGCTGAACGTGGCCCCCAGCGGGTCCGCGGGCAGCTTGGACAGCTTGGGGCGCACGACGTGCAGGTCAGACAGGTTAGGGGCACTGTGCAGACGGCAGCCCAGGCCGGCCGTGCGAGAGGAGTGCTCCGGCACAGAGGAACCTGGCGCAGGACACCGACTCCATTACCACCCTCCGGTCCCCCAACCGGGCTCGCTGGAGCACACACACAACTAGACACCACCGCTCCGCACCAAATGACAGCACTCTCTGGACCCCTCACCCCAAGACTGCTTCCCCTCGCAGTCACCAGGACCTCTGACCCCTCACCCCCAACCAGTCTCTGCTTTCAACCTGAGGAAACAGGCATGGAAACACTGGGCAATCTGCCTCACTCAATACACAGCCACGTTTCTTCCACGGCCAGCAGCCATGCCTGCCTGCCGGCCGACACTCAGGCCCAGGGCAGCACCGCACTCACCTGCTCCAGGGGCCCGGAAAGCTCGCGTCTCAGCTGCTTGTGGCGAAGGCTCCCGGCTCCAGCCAGGCCGCTCGGGAATGGTCCCCACTGGGTGGGAAGGACCGTGGTCAGACCAGGAGAGACCACAGGCGCTGCCCGTGGGCCCATGCACACAGGGCAGGGGCGCTAGGGGACTGTGGAGAGCACCCAACTCACCTTGGGGAGACGGTGTGTAGGGCCGGCCCCCGCCCAGAGACAGCTTCCTGGCCTGGATGGCTCCATCAGCCTGAGATGGGGGGGATGGGCTGGCCCGGGCAAAGCTCAAGGAGCTGCGGACGGTAGAGGACCTGCAGACAGGACCTGCCCGTCACAGCCAGCAAGGCTGCGGTGAGGACACCCACCACCACGCTGTCCGCATGACGGACGGCCTTCTCAAGAGGCCCTGGGGCCTCCTGGCTGAAGCCCAGAGCCATCCCTGTCAATGCCAGCCCCAGCTGCCCCATGGAGACAGAGAAAAATGCCCCTCCCTGCCATCTCCTTCTGTCAAAATTAATACAACTTTGTGAACTGGGGACACCTCCATATGTCACTAAAGAATGAGAGGTCTGGAAACGTGGCTCAGTGACAGAGTGCTTGCCTTGCGTCCATGAGGGCCTGGGTTCAATTCCTTAGTACCACATAACAGAAAAAGCTGGAAGTGGCACTGTGGCTCAAATGGTAGAGCACTAACCTTGAGCTGAAGAGCTGAGGGACAGTGCCCAGACCCTGAGTTCAAGCCCCAAGACCGGCCAAAAAAAAAAAGAACTCTAGAAAGCAGGGCACTGGGGGCTCACACCTAGCTGCTCAGGAGGCTGAGATCTGAGGATCATGGTTCAAAGCCAGCCCAGGCAGGAAAGTCCATGAGACACTTATCTCCAATGAACCACCTGAAAACCGGAAGTGGTGCTGTGGCTCAAGTGGTAGAGCCCTCGTGAAGCACCCAGGGACAGCGCTCAGGCCCAGAATTCAAGCCCCACAACCCACCAAAGAAAAGCAGCTCAGGGACAGTATCCAGGCCCTGAGTTCAAGCCCCAGGTCTGGCAAAAAAAAACACAAAAAAACCCATGACTGAGAACAACAACAGAAAGAACTCTAGGATCTGCGTGACTGCGCATGCATGTCCCTGTGGGCCTCTCCCAGGGCCTGCAGTGGGGGGACACCCACCGGGCCTGGAGCTGCGTGGGTGACTGCAGATTCTGCTCGATGCGCTGGTAGTTGTGCACCTGAGTGGGGACTGGGATGGGGACCGAGCCGCCACACCTGCCGCTGCAGAAGGGCCCAGCCCGGCTGTGGGAAGAGAAATTGGACCACTGGAGGTAGGGCAGGAGGAAGCCCAGGGCAGAGGCTCCAAGAGGGCCCCGCAGGCCCCAGGCTCCATTCTGCTCCTACACAAAGGCAGGAGGCAGGTCATCTGGCGTCACCCCGCCCCATCCCCCAACAGCCATTCCAGGGGACAGGGCAGCCATCTAGCCTCTGGAGCTGGCCGTCTCCCCAGTCCCGGCTGCAGTGACTCAGGGAAGCCCAGCCAACGCCCAGACCAGCTTACCCTGAGGGGCTGGGGGAGCTGCTGCAGGTCGGGGAGGGAGATGGAGTGCGGCCGCGGCTCTCTAGGCCAGCAGAGGCCACCAGTGAACTCCTGGTTGGAGAAGGGACAGGCAGGCTCCCTTGGGTTGATGTGGCGCAGACCCCAGCCCTCCCTCACCCCAGGGTTTTGGGTTTGGGGCTTTTTTGTGGGGTGCGGTGCAGCAGGCTGGATCCTTTCCAGCTGGCCCGGCCCCAAGCTGGGGTTGGAGCACAGGACAGCACAGGCCGCGCTGAAGGCCCAGCTCTCTGTGACTGGGTGCTGGAGACTTACCCGCTGCACAGCAGGCTGTCCGGTGGGGGCTTGGCGCTGGCTACCTCAGCCACCAGGTCACCTGCGGGGAGGGGAAGACATCTGGCCGGGGGTCCCTGCTCTCCTGGGCCATGCTGACCCTTTTCTCTATGAGTAAGGAGGGTGCCCAGGCTGGGAGGGGCTGGCTTGAAAGGTGGCTTTGGGGACTGAGAACTTAGTGGCTACTGAGGACTCTGCTAAAGCCGGCTGCAGAAACAAGTCATTGGTTCCAGGTAGACACAGGTGCAGCCAGGTCCCAGAATGAGGAGCTGGTGGGAAGGAAGCCAAAGCAATCTTCACGGCAGCAGCCGGGCAGGAAACGGCTCTGAGGCCGGCAACTCCCCCAGCAGAGGCTGGCTGGTCCCTGCGCCCTGGGACACGCCCCACACTGAGTCTCAACCCCTACCGCAGCAGGCTTTCGGCTTCCACAGCGAACAGACCTGGGAACTGGGCTGGGACCATGACAAAGTCATCCGTGTCACACGAATCCTTGCTGCTGCCACCAGAGTCCCGGGAGCCCCGTAGGAAGCCGGCGGCGTCGGCTGGGGATGTCAGGGTCTTCTGAAGCTGTGCCATTTCCCCCAGGGACTGGAGGACAGAGGAAGGGTCAGCGAGGCAGCTGGGGGACCTGAGGCGCCGGTGCAATGACCCTGTGCCCGCCCTCTCACACACAACCCCCCCCGCAGCCCAGGGCGCAGGGCCCCAGCTGCCTCTGCCAAGCAACTCACCGGCGGGGAGGCCAGGTGGGATGTGGAGCTGCTGCTGGAGCTGCTGCCGGACCCCGAGCTGGGGTAGGAGGGCACGGGCACAGGGGGGGCTGGGGAGAGGGGAGGGTCAGTGGACAGCGGGCCCTCCCTGCACTGGGGACAGCTGCGGAGGCTGCTAAGCCAGGCCAGCTCAGGGAGGCGGAGGGCAAGCATGCCCGTCCCCCACGGCTTTGGAGGGGGGCAGGGGGAAGGAGGAAGGGGAGGGGGAAGGGGAGGGGGAAGAGGAAGGGGAGGGGAAAGAGACAGCCGCTCAGCCGTCCCCCACCCTCCCAGCCTCCCCCCTCACCGCCTCCCACCCCACCGCCGCCCCCCATCGCCCCCCGCGCTGCATCACAGCCACCCCCCACCCCGTGGCGGGCTGGGGCCGCTTGAGGGGCGCAGCGCGGGCCTGGCCCAGGGTGTGGCGCGCGGGACTCACACTTCCGGATGGAGGTGCTGGCGTCTAAGAAGGGGTGCTGGAAGAACTCGTCTGTGGAAAGAAGACCAGGGCCCGGCTCCTGAAGGCCCCGGGCGCCTCAGGCCAGCGGCCTGAGGGAGGGGGAGAGGCGGGGCCGTGCGGGGAGGCGGGGCCGTGTGGGAGGCGGGGCCTTGTGGGGAGGCGGGGCCTTGTGGGGAGGCGGGGCCTTGTGGGGAGGCGGGGCCGTGTGGAGAGGCGGGGCCGTGTGGAGAGGTGGGGCTTGGGAGGCGGGGCCGTGCGGGAGGCGCGAGGCCTGGCGGGCTGTGCGGGAGGCGGGGCCGTGTGGGGAGGCGGGGCCGAGTGGGGAGGCGGGGCCTTGTGGGGAGGCGGGGCCGTGTGGGAGGCGGGGCCGTGTGGGGAGGCGGGGCCGTGTGGGGAGGCGGGGCCTTGTGGGGAGGCGGGGCCGTGTGGAGAGGCGGGGCCGTGTGGAGAGGTGGGGCTTGGGAGGCGGGGCCGTGCGGGAGGCGCGAGGCCTGGCGGGCTGTGCGGGAGGCGGGGCCGTGTGGGGAGGCGGGGCCGAGTGGGGAGGCGGGGCCGTGTGGGGAGGCGGGGCCTTGTGGGGAGGCGGGGCCTTGTGGGGAGGCGGGGCCGTGTGGAGAGGCGGGGCCGTATGGAGAGGTGGGGCTTGGGAGGCGGGGCCGTGTGGGGAGGCGGGGCCGTGTGGGGAGGCGGGGCCGTGTGGGGAGGCGGGGCCGTGTGGGGAGGCGGGCGGCCGGGGGAGGCTGAGCTGTGGTGCTCACCAAAGTCCATGCGGTCTCTGTGGCTGCGCTGCAGCAGAGCCAGGAGCAGCTGCCGCAACGGGGCGGAGGTCTCCCGGGGGATGCTACGCAGGGCAAGAGAGGGCGAGCTGACCGCATCTGGCCGGATGCCCAGGGGTCAGGGAGAGGGGTGCTGGGGAGGGGAGCCGGGGAGGGCACACCAGGTCTGGGGAGGGGAGCTGGGGAGGGGTGCTGGGGAGGGGAGCTGGGGAGGGGTGCTGGGGAGGGGTGCTGGGGAGGGGTGCTGGGGAGGGGAGCTGGGGAGGGGAGCTGGGGAGGGGAGCCGGGGAGGGGAGCCGAGGAGGGCACACCAGGTCTGGGGAGGGGAGCTGGGGAGGGCACACCAGGTCTGGGGAGGGGAGCTGGGGAGGGCACACCAGGTCAGGGGAGGGGAGCTGGGGAGGGCACACCAGGTCTGGGGAGGGGAGCTGGGGAGGGCACACCAGGTCAGGGGAGGGGAGCTGGGGAGGGCACACCAGGTCTGGGGAGGGGAGCTGGGGAGGGGAGCTGGGGAGGGGAGCTGGGGAGGGCACACCAGGTCTGGGGAGGGGAGCTGGGGAGGACACACCAGGTCTGGGGAGGGGAGCTGGGGAGGGGAGCTGGGGAGGGGAGCTGGGGAGGGCACACCAGGTCTGGGGAGGGGAGCTGGGGAGGGGAGCTGGGGAGGGGAGCTGGGGAGGGCACACCAGGTCTGGGGAGGGGAGCTGGGGAGGACACACCAGGTCAGGGGAGGGGAGCTGGGGAGGGGTGCTGGGGAGGGCACACCAGGTCTGGGGAGGGGAGCTGGGGAGGGCACACCAGGTCTGGGGAGGGGAGCTGGGGAGGGCACACCAGGTCTGGGGAGGGGAGCTGGGGAGGGGAGCTGGGGAGGGGAGCTGGGGAGGGCACACCAGGTCTGGGGAGGGGAGCTGGGGAGGACACACCAGGTCAGGGGAGGGGAGCTGGGGAGGGGTGCTGGGGAGGGGAGCTGGGGAGGGCACACCAGGTCTGGGGAGGGGAGCTGGGGAGGGCACACCAGGTCGGGGAGGGACACTTACGCAGGGGTCAGTGTCTTGTTCTTTTCGTAGAACAGGCGCAGGTCCTGTGGGCTGCTGGCCTGTGGGGTAGCAAGGTGGGATGCAGCTCCCTGCAGCCCTGCCTCCCGCTGCGGCCTGCTCGAGCCTGTCCCTCCCAAGTGGCCCTCGGCCAGGAGCACAGGCTAGCTCACTGCCACGTCCACGCCTGGCCTTGCAGCACTGTGTGGGTTCTCACCCTGTGCCCCAGAGCTGAGGGGTCTCACCTGGAAAGGGGCCTTCCCAGTCAGACACTGGTAAACAATGGTGCCAATGCTCCACAGGTCCGCCTTCCCGTCGTAGTGCTGGGACATGATGACTTCAGGGGCCTGTGAGGGGCGGCACGGGTTGACGCAGAAGGGACCTCAGAGCCCTACACAGGGCCCGAGGCCGGGTGTGGCAGAGCAGTGCCACCCTGCAGCCTCCCCCTGGATGGAGGGCTGCCCCTCCCAACTCAGCAGGTCCTCTGTCGGGATGGAGAGAGGCCACGCACCATGTACATCGGAGAGCCGCAGAGGGTGGCCGCCATCATGTTGCTCTGGAGGTACCGGGCAAACCCGAAGTCGGCTGTGGGAGACACAGGGACGGGGAGGCGTCAGCAGGGTCGGGCCGCACAGGGGCCACCCCAGCGGCCGGCCCCCAGCCTCACCAATCTTGACACGGATGTTGTTGGGGTTGGCGCGGCGTCCCCCAGGGTTGGACAGCAGGATGTTCTGAGGCTTCAGGTCCCGGTGGATGATGCCCTTGCTGTGCAGCAGCCGCATGGCGCCGGCAATCTGCTGCAGGAAGAGCCTGATGGTGTCCTCACTCAGCGTGCGCATGGCTGTAAGGTGAGGCAGGCTCAGGGCACAGGCACCCTCGCTCAGGCACACGGGGCTCGCCCCTGCAGGGAGCAGCGTCCACCGTCTGGCCAGCTCCAACTCTGCGCACAGGCTTGGAAAGCGCAGGCCTTCTCTCCCCTGTCCCCCTGCTGGCTCTGCATGCCATCCTCCCACAGCCCCTGGTCCCCCCTCCAGACCACCCCAAAACAGCCAGCTCTTTGGGCTCCTGACTACACTGTTTCCGGGTACCCATCTAAACCCAGCATCTTCCTCAGACCCCCAAAAGAAAGAGGCTTAGCCGCTGTTTTGGAGATGACTGGGCACGCCTGCACTGAGCCCTGGTATGCACCCCAGGTGCCACCTCTCACTCCTTGCTTCCGTCGGAGCCCTGGCCTAGATCTGGCCTAACACGCATGAAGCGTGGGAACTGACCAGCAAAGACCCAACTGCTCCAAATCCAGGGTCCAGGAGGCAGCCACCACAGGGAACAAGAACACGGGCAGACAGACAACGGTGCCCAGGGACCAAGGCCTAGGTCTGAGCGACCCCTCACCTCCGAGCCACCCTGCAGGCCCGGGGGTGCTCCTAGACTCATCTGCCCTGTCAGCTCAGCCACAAGCCACTGTCTCTCTGTACCCCTGGGGGTTGGCACCAGGGCCCCTGTCAGCAGAGGGGTGATCCCCAAAGCAGAAAAGCTACCCACATGGGGTCAGGTCTCAACATCTGTGTCTCGGTCTGAGGGACGTGTGGTCACAGGTTCCCGCCTGCCCAGGAGATCTGAAGAAGCCCTCTGTCCCCTGTGCCACCCACCAGGCCTTGCTAGGCCCCCCCACAGCCCCTGTGGCCCTGAGTGATCAACCCCCCAATCAAAGCCTAAGATGGAGAGAGCACGGTGCCAGGCTCCAGCACTAAGACTGGCCCGGGTCTCCACCTGCTGGGGCCATGTGAACGCCCCCCCATGCTCTGTACCACCCATCCCTGCCCTCAGCATCGCTGCTGTGCACGCCCTCTGTCCACCCCCATGTCCTCCAGCCCTTCTGGCCAAACTCTTCCCCCACACACCACTCAGCCAACTCCTTGAGACCAAAATAGATGCCTCCAGAGGCTGGGAATGGGGCTCAGTGGTAGAGTGCTTGCCTAGCACACACAAGGCCCTGGGTTCGGTTCCTCAGTACCACATACACAATACATGTTCACAGTGGCACTGTGGCTCAAGTGGTAGAGCGCTATCCTTGAGCAAAAACTGCTGGGGGAGAGGCTGGGGGGGCGGGGGGGAGGGTTGGGGAGGAGGCTGGGAAAGGATGGGGAAACAAAGGAGGCTGCAATGCTTGATAAGAAATGTACTCATTATCTGGCCCATGTAATTGTAACCCCTCTGTATAGTATTTTCACAATTAAAAAAAAAAAAAAAAGGTGTCTCCCTGGCAACACGATGAATGGAGCAGGAAGCCAGCACCTATGGCTCCCGCCTGTAATTCTAGCTACTCAGGAGGCTCAGATCTGAAGGACCACAGTTCAAGGCCAGCCCGTGCAGAAGCCATCTCAAAAACAACCAACAAAAAGCAGGACTGGAGATACAACTCAAGTGGTGGAGTGCCAGCCCAGCACGCTGAAACCTCATTGTTCCAAAACAAGCCAACAAACTGGGAAGCCGTCTCCTCCCTGCAGCACTTACTGAGCCACGCCCCCACTCACTGCTCCCCAGATCCTTCCCGCTGTGCCCATGGCTCACACAGAACATCCACACTGCAAACCATTCTGGCCACAGCCATCCCTCAGCAGAAGCCTCAAGGAGTAGCTGTGGAGAGGGCAGGCAGCCAGAGCCAGGGCTGAGAAAGGCCCAGCAGCAGCATCGCCTGGCCGTGCAAGTCCACTCACTGTGCAGGTAATCAGCGAGGTCCCCACCGTTGCAGTACTAGAAAGACCAGCGACAGCGTCAAGGAGTGGCGGTCCTGTCCACCTCCACCCTCACCCCCCCCCTCGCCCCTCCCTCATGCGCCCTCCTCCTGGAGATGTCAATGGTGAATGTCCACTACCCCCAGCCCTGCCCTGTCCCTCTCAATACTGAGCACGAGGGGTAGGTGTCAGCCTCTGCTCTGTCCTGGCCCAGTAATGGGGGACGCCTTCATTCCACGCTGTCTCAGACCCGCAGGAACTCACCTCCATGACCAGGTAGACAGAATTGGCCATTTCCTGCAAGACAGAGCAAAGGCCATGAGTGATGGGAAGAGCGGCCTGCTCCACGGAGACGCTGCTTGTGGCTATCTGGGCACTCAGGACCACAGCTCCACCATCTGCCTACAGAGCTCAGGCAGAGTAGATACAGCCAGGCCCCCATGGCCCTTCTGGACCAGCAGAAATACAGCCTGAGTGACAGGAGGGCCAGGGAGGCGGGGCCTGGACTCACTGGTCTGGTCCTGAGGTCTGCCTCCTGGGAGGCCTGTCCACGAGGAGCCATCGTACTAGGGTTCAGAACAGGTATGGGTGGAACCTGACCTCCAGCTCCAGGAGCTACCAGCTTCCAGCTCCAAAACCAACGACGCCATCAGATTACTGGTTGGTGCTGCCAGGCTGAGTCAGCAGCTGCTCCCAAATGCCTGGCCCTACCGGTGGGCCCACCACACTGTGCCCAGACCTTGATTCCAACAGGGGATCATCCTGGCCACCTCTGTCCACTGTCCAGCCAGCAATGCCAGCCAGCTTCCTTCTTGCCACCCACTCAAGGCAGATGTCCACACCTGAGTGTTAGAAGCACGCTCCCTTCTGTGAACAAGCGCTCATCAACAGCCCTGCCTGGTGTCCCGTGAACAGCACCCGCTGATGGCTACCAGGCTCAGTGTGTGCCCATGCTAGGCCCTGAACAGCCACTCCTCAAAGCAACTGGGAGAGCTATCTATCCTCCTGGCCATTTCAGAGGAGAAACTGAGGCCCAGGGGCCAATCAGAGCAAGCAGGATGGTCTTAGGTCTTCCTTAGCTGGGGGCAGTACCACCAGTCAGCCAGGAGTCCTCACCACCTCACCCCTCCTCCCGCAGCCTAGACCAGATTCACAAGGCTGCCCACAATTAGGACACCCCACACCCAGCCACAGGACTCCAGATGCAGCCACTGAGGCTGCAAAGCAGGACGCAGGGGCACTCAGAAGGTCCAAAGCTCTGAAACAGGCTTTCAGAGACACAGGGGCCAAGGCACAGCTCAGGACTAGAGCCAGGCCCCGACCAGCGGCTGCCCTGCTCCACCTGTCAGCCACAGTGCCCCGCACACCTTAGACATGCAATGTACTCAATGCCAGCCAGCCTGGCAGGCCCGCAGAGCCCCCGCCCCTGCTCAGTTCCCACACCCAAGACTGAAGAGCCTCAGGTGAGCAAACTTCTAGAAGACTGGCAGGAAGCTCTGCCTGCCAGTGGCACCCAGTGTCACTGCCCATTCCTCTACCCCTGAGCTGCAAAAGGTAGGGGTGGGGGAGGGAGAGGCCTAGGGCCAGACCCAGCATGTTCCCAAGTGTGCCCAGGATCCAGACAGGCAAGGACAGGCAGGGAGGCCTGCAGGCCAGCAGCAAGGAAGGCTGGTCGGCCCCACCCCAGGTGAGAAGCACCGCACCCCGTCTTAGATCCGCCCACCACCTCTGCCCCCCAGGCCAGCTGTGGTGAGAGATAGTCTCAGCCACAGGATGGGAGGCAGCCAGAGACTGGACCGGAGCCAGAGCCCACAGACAGCTCAGGCAGGCAGGAGGTGACAGATAACAGCCCCAAAACAGCCTGGGCACAGCAGCACCACGTGGTTCCCCGCTGCCCGAGATGTTTCTCCAAGGAGCCTCTACAGCCAGGGCCTCTGGGTCCCTTGTCCTGGACAAGGGCAGCCAGGGTTGGCGGGGTGGGTCTCAGGCCCGTCTTCAGGTGGCCCAATCCCACCCAGCCAGCCAGGGAATCAAGAAATAACAGCAGTGGTAGAAGCAGGGCGGGGGGACAGGCGTGTGCAGGGGGGACAGGCGTGTGCAGGGTGAGGGGACAGGCGTGTGCAGGGGGGACAAGCGTGTGCAGGGGGGACAGGCGTGTGCAGGGGGGACAGGCGTGTGCAGGGGGGACAGGCGTGTGCAGGGGGGACAGGCGTGTGCAGGGGGGACAGGCGTGTGCAGGGGGGACAGGCGTGTACAGGGGGGACAGGCGTGTGCAGGGGGGACAGGCGTGTGCAGGGGGGACAGGCGTGTGCAGGGTGGGGGGACAGGCGTGTGCAGGGGGGACAGGTTTGTGCAGGGTGAAGGGACAGGCGTGTGCAGGGGGGACAGGCGTGTGCAGGGGGGACAGGCGTGTGCAGGGGGGACAGGCGTGTGCAGGGTGGGGGGACAGGCGTGTGCAGGGTGAGGGGACAGGCATGTGCAGGGGGGACAGGCGTGTGCAGGGGGGATAGGCGTGTGCAGGGGGGATAGGCGTGTGCAGGGTGGGGGGACAGGCGTGTACAGGGGGGACAGGTTTGTGCAGGGGGGGACAGGCGTGTGCAGGGGGGGGACAGGCGTGTGCAGGGGGGACAGACGTGTGCAGGGGGGACAGGCGTGTGCAGGAGGGACAGGCGTGTGCAGGGGGGACAGGCGTGTGCAGGGTGGGGGGACAGGCGTGTGCAGGGGGGATAGGCGTGTGCAGGGTGGGGGGACAGGCGTGTGCAGGGGGGACAGGTTTGTGCAGGGTGAGGGGACAGGCGTGTGCAGGGGGGACAGGCGTGTGCAGGGGTGACAAGCGTGTGCAGTGTGGGGGGACAGGCGTGTGCAGGGGGGACAGGCGTGTGCAGGGGGGACAGGCGTGTGCGGGGGTGACAGGCATGTGCGGGGGGGACAGGTTTGTGCAGGGGGGGGACAGGCGTGTGCAGGGCAGTGGCAAGTCCACTCCTCCCCAGAAAGGCAAGGCTTCAAGAGAGCCTCAAGTCCCCTCTGAAGCCATTGGGCTTGGCAAAGGCTCTGCCTCCTGCAGTCCCCACCTAGAGCCTGACCAGGGTACTGCCCCCACCCCAGCCAGGCCCTCAGCTCCAAGACTGCCAAGGCCCCAGGCTGCTTGGGACGGCCCGGACATCTACCTTCCAGAGACAGTGACCACAGCACACCACCCTGCAGGCCGGCCTGCACCCAGTCCTACTGAGACCCGGGGCCGTCTCCAGCGTCTCGGGGCTCTCCAAGAGCAGCCACAGGTCCCAGCGATCCAGCTTTACTCTACTCTACACAGCAAACTTGGGCAGTCATACCCACACCACCAAGCCTGATTTCACAAGGTACCCTGGGCACAGGACCCAAAAGTGCTGGGGGTCAGGGAGGGGAGTCTTAACAAAGTATCTGGGAGCCTCCAGAGACTCAGCACAGTTCCCGGGTCAGCCTTCCCCTCTTGCCCTAGGAGATGGCTCCAGATGGGCCTCTGGGCTTGGACTTCAGCCCCCAGCATGAGCTGGTCCACGGCCAGCACTCAAAGTTCTCCCCACAGCCACCTAGACAACAGCGAGGCTTAGAAGCCAGTCGTACAGATGAGAAAACCCAGACCCCAAGGAGCCAGGAGACTGCCCAGAGCTGGGAAATGGCCCAGCCAGCCCACGCAGGCTGATCCCAGGCAGAGTGTGCCAGTGCCAAGCCAGTAGCTGTCTGAGGTTGCACAGCCTCCCGGAGGGCCCAACTGCGTGGCTTCTAGCCCTGGCAGGGCAGGCGGTGAGGCCAAGCCACAAAGCAAGAGGTCCTCTAGGCACCTGCTGAGAAGCTTTCCTAGAAACGTTCGTGCCTCACCCTGCTCCCAGGAGCTCCCCAATGACAGTGGCTTTCTCTGGGGCACCAGGCCAAGGGAGCCCAACTCAAGTGGCCACACTGCTCCTGCCCTGGTCCAGCCTCTTGTTGCTCCTTTGGGGAGGGCAGGCCTGGCCAGCCCTTAGACTGTCTGATGCCTGAGGGGCAGCGGATGGCAGCGGTAGGCACTCAAAGGAAGCTCTGGGAGCAGCACTGTGGCTCATGATGGTAGAGCATTGGCCTTGAGCAGAAAAGCTCAAAGACAGTGCCCATCCAGAGTTCAAGCCGCTACTGATAAAGAACAAGTAGGTTTGGGAACCACCTCCTAAAACAGACACGCAGAGGTGGGAGGCGCAGCTGAGTGACCATGCCAGGCTCCGAGATGGCACCTGCTCGGCAGGTCACAGCTGGCCGGAGGGCTCTCCGGAGGACGGGCGCGTAACCCCAAGTCTTGGCTCTCAGACACAATAAAACCCTGGAAAAGGGAACAGAACTGATGCTCTGAGAAAAGCAAAGGCCCTGCTCACATGCTGGACCAGGCAGCCGACAGGCATCCATCCGGGCACTATGGGGTAGCCACATGCCTGGGCACAAAGGTGCTTTTTCCAAATAGGTGACAAGCTCCTACCCTCCACCCACAGGACTCTGGTCTGCCCACAGGGGATGGATCTGGCAAAGAGGCTGGCAGCACTGGTCTACTTAACTCTTCCTGGGATGCAGATGATGCCAAGTTGCTGGCTGGGTGAGGGACGGACCCATGGGAGAAGTAAGCCTGCCAAGCCCGAAGGGCCATGGACCCAGGCTGACCTCACTGAAAGTTTGGTGGCCGGGCCTGACAGGACCCTAAGCTCCGTGCTACCCGCCAGCTTCCCGGACGGAGGGGCTGACCAGGGCCTGTCAGGGCCTGTGAGTGGGGGATTGTGATCTGCAGGAAGACAAGCCCAGCGTGGTCTTCCCTGGGACCTGACCCAACAGCTCCGTCCACGCCCAAGCTGAGACCCCACTGTCCACCCTCCTGCCACCAGTAAATAGAGGCCAGGCATTAGGGGCAGGGCTCAAGTGGGAGCCACTCAGATTACCCAGACTCATTTTGAATCCCACTCCACAGATCCCAGATTTTGAGTAGCTAAGATTATAGACTCTTTTCTTTGCCAGTCCTGGGGTTTGAACTCAAGAGCCTAGGTGCAGCTTCCTAGTAGCTAAGATTACAGGCGTGAGCCACTGGCACCAGCCAGATCACACACTCTTACCAGCAAGAGCCAGAAGTGGAGCTGTGGCTCAAGTAGGAGACTGCCAGCCTTGAGCAAAAAAGCCAAGCCAGAGTGTCAGCCCCAAGTTCAAGACCCAGTAACCACGCACACACGCGCACACGCGCACACACATACATACACCAACAGAGAGGATTGTTCTGACTTAACTGTAAAACACCATGGTGAAACCTT